TCCCGCGTAGCCCCGCCCCGCGCCCATCCCTTAAAGAAGTTTCTGTTAAAATGTTTAAAGTACAGTAATTGCTAGCATTTCAAACAGAAATCCAGCTTTTGGGCTTTTCTTGAAAGCAAAAAAAAAAAAAGCAGTCCACCCGCATCAGGCCCAGTCGCCTTCCGCCATCTGCCGCTTCTGTTTGTCCCACCCGGAAGCGGAGGGGACCCGCCGGCCCGAGCCCACGCGGCCCCCGGAGCGCGAAGGCTGGGGCCGCAGCGCCATCTGGCGACGCAGCGGGCCCACTGCGCCCTTCGGGTAGAAACGCAGGCTCCCGAGCGGGAGCGCGGCGAGGTCAGCGCAGGTGCAGAACCGCGACGCTGTGACTGGCGCTAACCACCGGAAAGGCCGCTGTTACGAAACTTTGGAGGGAAGACAGTTCCACGCTTCCGTCTAGCGTTTGTGCTGAGGTAATTGCACTTCTCAGAGTTGTGCTGACCCAGGGGGATGTAGACCCCGCAGCCTATGCCAACGCGTGGGTTGCGCTGTATCGCCCGGCAGGGTGGGCCCCGGAGACCCAGAGGGTTCAGTCTGCTCGGTTTCCTGGAATCACGGATCCTTCTCAAAACAAACCCAAACTAAGTGCTGCCGGAATAGGACTGATGGGGATATAAACCGTTATCAACTGAAAAGCTCTGAATTAAGTTAAGTGCAAGTCTGTTCCAAAATACGATGGGAGAAATGGCTTTAACTGTCTCATGAAGGCTTTGGATCATTATTGCAACATGGAGCTAATTCTTTTGAATCATTTACTACTGCTGTAATAATAACTTACTGTCTGAAAACGTTAACCTTTTTGTATAAATTTACTAACTTGGAAACTTTAGACATATTGGCCCAATTAGCCATTATGTGTTTTAGGCATTTATTGTGTCCACTGAATGTCAGGCAGTGTGTTAAAAGGATGAATATGACATTCCATGTTGTCAATAGGCACCCAGCCTGCAGGGGAAAAATACCCGAGAGACCTACTGATAGGGTGTGATGGGTGTGACACTTGCTATAGCGGATCCTGAGTATTATTTATAGGATTAGAATAGTGCGCCATCTAGAGGAAGATCTCAGTAGTCAGACTTAGCAGTAACCACCCCAAAGATGTCACATTGGGGTATGGATAGGAATGAACCCCATTCTGGTTAAGTTCCACTTCTGTGCTGTTGGGAATGTTCTTCAGGTAAACTTTGGAGAGAGATTGAAGTGAGAGAGGTGTGCGGGAGGTTAGAATCTATCTTCCTGAGCTTACTGCGTGGACTGTTGAGTTAGTTAACATGATTATAATTTTTATCGAGGGTCTGCCCTATGTCAGGTGCTCTGCTAAGCACTGCAGGTTTCTCCTCTGCCCTAGATACTCTGGTTCTTCCCTCCAGCGGCAGGACCGTATGAGGTCCTGGGGTGCAAAATTTAAGGAAGTGTTTGTGTTACCCAACGCAAGTTCCCGTGCCCGATGCCCAGTGAACCCCGTGCCCGATGCCCAGTGAGGCCAAACAAAGGGAAACATTGGGGTTTGGAGCAGAGAAAGGTTTATTGCAGGGCCATGCAAGGACACAGGTGGCTCGTGCCCCCAGAGCCCCAAGATCCTTGAAGGGTTTCAGCAAAGCACTTTTAAAGGCAAGGTGAGGGAGGGAGGGGGTGTGGTTGGTTGTTGCAGATTTCTTGGTGTCGGAATCCTTTGTTCTTACAGCTGTTCAGGGAGGTCAGGTCACGATGTTCCTGTAAACCTGCAACAAGACAAATGCAATCCTCTGTTCTGCAACTTTTTATCTCTGCATGAATGGACTCTTAAAGGTCAGAGCCCTGAGAATAGGTTATCCTGTATATTTCAGGCTATAGACAACATTCTTGTACAAAAGGTGCAGAGCCAGCATGGCTAAGCACAGGCAACAGAGCACAAAAGTTTAAAGTAAAAGGAACAGATCCAACATGGAGTCAGTGACGTTCTTCCCTATAGCACTTGCTCTCAGAGGCTGACCCTCCACTTGCATGACCCTGAGAGCCCCTCCTTAAATTCAATGCCCCCCCCCCCGGCCCCCTGCAGCCACATGTGTGCCTCTCTCATCTGGCCCTGGTTCCCATTTTCTGAATGAGGAAACAGAGAGGTTGATAATGCTTCTACGATCACACAGCTTGGAAGTTTCTGAGGTGGAACATGAATCCTATGGCTTTGTGTGACTCTGGCGTCCTTACACTTAACACCTAGGTTATGTAGTTTCTTCCTGTGGCTCTAGGAATCCCTGGCCATTTTTTAAAAATGTATCTCCACTGTTAGCAGCTTTACTTGATTACAGAGCAGTGGAGAAGGGCTCTGGGGTTCACCTCAGCGGGGAGCCTCGGGGGCCTGAGCTGTGAGTCCCTGCTTGGATGGGAACGGTGGGTTGGGACTTAGGTGCCATAGGCACATGGCCGCCTTAGGGCTGAGCGTACAACCTGGCAGGTGAAGATGTTGCTGAAATGTGGCCTCTCTACACCAGTGCCGGATTAATTAATCTCGAGACACAGAGTTTTGGGAGAAGTAGAAGGAAGTAGCTTTATTGCTTTGCCGGGCAAAGGGGGCCACGGCGGGCTAACGCCTTTAAGACTGTGTGTCCCACGCTGGAGGGGGGGCAGTGAGGAGTCTTACAGTGTTCAAGGAGCAGGGCGTGATCAGCTCGGGCACATTCTTCTGATTGGCTGGTGGTGAGGTCATTGAGAGTCACCATCATCTACCTTCTGGTTCCAACCAGTCTGAGGTCTGCGTGCATGTGGGCAGCATCCAGTTAACTTCTTCCGCCTGGAGGGGGCTTCAGTATCTGCAAAACAGCTCAAAGGACAGGGCTCAGAATAGTATCTATAGTCCTTGAGGAAGAACTGCAGGTCCTTGACTTGGTTTAATGGCTAAAGTCCTAGTATTTTTTCTTGCTTGACTGTTTTCCTTTCTTTCTGCATTTTCTCACTTCTCTGATGACATTTATTCTTTAACTAAAGGTTTTTTTACAGACAAAAGGCAGGCGGAGGACAGGAGTGGGGGTTTGTTCTGGAAAGGCCTCACAGGGTCCTGCGTGGTTACAAAGCCTTCTGCAGCTGCCATGGACGGGCCCGGTTGTGTACAGCAAGCCCGTCCTGTGGGGAACCGGCCCTCACTCTTCTCTCACCACCCCACTGAGGACACACGTGCCTCTTGGCACTTGTCACAGACTGAAGCTCTATTTTGCATTGTCACTTAATACAAACACTGATGCTGATCGTGTCGGAGGTCATAGCAGTGTCTCCCATCTGTTGTGAGCCGGCCAGGACAGTCCCCCGTTTCCTGTGCTATCTCGTTAGGCTTCGTGACAATCTCGTGGGAGAAGAATCGTCCTCATTTGGGATAAAGAAGATGTGGTACATGTATACAATGGAATATTAGTCAGCCAGAAAAAAGAATGAAATAATGCCATTTGCAGCAACATGGATGGACCCAGAGATTATCATACTGAGTGAAATAAGTCAGGCAGAGAAAGACAAATACCATATGATATCGCTTATGTGTGGAATATAAAATGACACAAATGAACTTATCTACGAAACAGAAATAGACTCACAGACATAGAGAACGGACTTGTGGTTGTCGGGGGTGAGATGGATTCGGAGTGTGGGATTAGCAGGTGATAACTGTTGTATAGAGAATGGATAAACAACAAGGTCCTTCTGTAGAGCACAGCAGCCTATATTCAATATCCTGTGATAAACCACAGTGGAAAAGAACTTAAGAAAAGAACCACCCCTATTTGACAGATGGGGACCTGAGGCTCAGAGGGTGAAGTGACTTGGTCTGTGGCACACAAGTGGTCTGTGTCAGAGCAGGCGACACTCAGGTCTTTGTGTGATTCCACTGCTCCAGACACCCTCTCTGCAGCCTCTCTGTGTGTAAAGGACTCTCTCTTCACGCACTACTACGTGAAGGAGGTGGCCGCTGCTTCATCTGTTTTTTGTGGTGAGGATGATACTCCACTAAGGCCTATTCAAAGAGTATGGACTAAGTGGTGAATGGTGTGGAAAGACCTAAAGGAAGTGCTGAGATAACCGTTCTGCCGGCGAGTGAGATTAGGACCAAGGAGAAGCAGAGCCTCCGGCACCAGGGCTGTGCTGTCTGTCCTGGGGTCCACCTGCCCCCGAGCAGACTCAGGGAAACCTGCTCTTTCACTGACAGGACGTGGGCACCTAGAAACTCAGAACAGCTCACTTGGTACTTGTTTTAAAAATAACCTCACTGGGCTTCCTGCTGGCACAGTGGTTGGGAGTCCGCCTGCCGATGCAGGGGACGCGGGTTCGTGCCCCGGTCCGGGAGGATCCCGCATGCCACGGAGTGGCTGGGCCCGTGGGCCGTGGCCGCTGGGCCTGCGCGTCCAGAGCCTGTGCTCCGCAACGGGAGAGGCCACAGTGGTGCGAGGTCCGCGTACTGCAAAAAAAATAAATGAATAACCTCATTCTTAACATTTTGGAAATATTATTTTTTCATTAGCAATGTCTGCTTGTAATTGGATATTTATTCCAATGAGAAATAATGACCAGGTTCACGTCTAAAATGTTACAAAAGTGATACACATTCAGTTTTTTTCTCACATTCTGCATAATACCCGTTAAGTCTTCTTTTGGCAGGAAAATGCATCTTCAAGGAGCAGCAGCTGCGTTGGAGAGATGTGGACTTGGGTTTACCGTCTTTCCTCACCCCTCATCACTGTGGTGCCAACTTTCACAGGAGAGCAATAATAATACTGACTTTGGGGGGTTATTTTGAGAATGACATGAGATAAGATGAGTGAAATGGCTGTTATGGGCTGAATTGTGTCCCCCCAGATTCATACGTTGATGGAGTTCTAACTCCCAGTACCTCAGAATGTGATTGTATTTGAAGATAAGGTGTTTAAAGAGATAATTTATGTTAAAGTGAGGTTACTAGGGTGGGTCCTAATCCAATATGACTGATGTCCTTATAGGAGGAGGAGATTAGGACACAGACACACACAGAGGGAGGACCAAGTGAGGACACAGGGAGAAGATGGCCGTCTACCAGCCGAGGAGAGAGACTTCAGAGGAAGCTGGCCCTGACAACACCTTGCTCTTGGCCTTCCAGCCTCCAGAACTGTAAGAAAATCCATTTCTGTTGTTTGCGCAGTCTGCGGTACTTCATGATGGCAGCCCCAGCAGACTCCCACACCCGCTCTCCCAGGCCTAGTGTATATTAGGCCCCCAGTAAGTCCTGATTTCTTTTTCCTCTTTATTGTTTTCTTTTGGGAGGAACCTGATTATTATTATTACTTTTTAATAACAGTCACCTTAATAGCAACAGTTTTCTTTTCTTTTTTTGTTTTTTGTCAATATCTTTTAACGGAAGTATAGTTGATTTACAATGTTGTGTTAATTTCTGCTTACAGCAAAGTGATTCAGTTATACATATATATATATATACATTCTTTTTAAAAAATATTCTTTTCCTTTATGGTTTATCATAAGATATTGAATATAGTTCTCTGTGCTATACAGTAGGACCTTGCTGTTTATCCATTCTCTCTATAAAAGCTTACATCTGCTAATCCCAACTTCCCACTCCATCCCTCCCCCAATCCCCACCCAGTCCTTGGCAACCAACAGTCAGTTCTCTATGTTCATGATTCTGTTTCTCTTTCTGACTTACTTCACTTCGTATGATAATCGGTAGTTGCATCCATGTTGCTGCAGATGGCGTTATTTCATTCTTTTTTATGGCTGAATAATATTCCTGTGTGTGTGTGTGTGTGTGTGTGTGTGTGTGTGTGTGTATCACATCTTCTTTATCCATTCATCTGTCAATAGACATTTAGGTTGTTTCCATGTCTTGGTTATTGTGAATAGTGCTGCTATGAACGTAGGGGTGCATGTATCTTTTTGAATTATAGTATTGTCTGGACATATGCCCAGGAGTGGGATTGCTGGATCATATGGTAGTTCTATTTTTAGCTTTCTGAGGAACCTCTATACTGTTCTTCATAGTGGCTGCACCAATTTACATTCCCACCAACAGTGTAGGCGGGTTCCCTTTTCTCTACATCCTCTCCAGCATTTGTTATTTGTAGACTTTTTAATGATGGCCATTCTGACCTGTGTGAGTTGGTACCTTGTTGTAGTTTTGATTTGCATTTCTCTTATAATTAGCAATGTTGAAATCTTTTCATGGGGAGGCACCTGATTTTATTAATTCACTTTCTTGAGGTCAGGAATGTGTCGTGCTCATTTTGGCTCTGACAATGTCTAACACACTCAAGGTTTACAGCATGAGTGAATCCGGATGCTGTTTCTCAAAGTGTGTTCTGTGGCACAGAGTCCTAAAAGACTGCATTTGAAAAAGGGTCCCGTGGTCAGATGACTTTGGGAAACACTGTGAACCGGCTTGGGGAGGGGACATGGGATTCATCAGGGAGGGGGCTACGTCTGTGGTCCCCAGGAGCCCACCGACAGGAGAGCAGAGGCCTTTCTTGTGGGTCTGTGACTCCTTGTTGCAGGGGCGAGCCTGTGGTGACTAACTCGACACCTGGCAATCACACGTGGGACTGAGATCCACTTGTGAAATAATGATTGCAGTCATCTAAGGAATCCGAAGATTCGCTTCAGTTGATGAAACTTGAAACTTGATGGAAAATTTTCCTAATAGCTTTTTAACCCTGGTTTGCAGGTATTTTCTCAGTACCTATTCATGACCTTGTTTATAACTTGGGCAACATGTGTTTCTTGTAGATGCAAGAACGTATCCTTGGCTCCAGAGGTTATGGAGCCATCACATACATTTATTTCATAAAATATCACAAGGTTCACAAACCCAGATGATTTGATTTACATAAAGCAGGGTAACCCATTGTTTGTTGGAGGAGTTTGTTTCCTAGTTGAAGTTTGGATCACCATGACCCGATGATGTCTTCCTGTTTACGGTGGGGAAACCCTACAGGCACAGCTTCACCACTCTACTGCCTTTAGCTTTCTAGGAGTGATTTACCTGCATTGCTCCTATGTGTTAGCTGCCGTGGTCCAACATCGTCTAGGTTGACTTGGAATTCAGCAAGGCTTGACTGCAGTTTCCCTTCTAAATGGGCCGTAGATCTGTCCAGATATCACTGTCAGAAAACTGTGCTCACAGACGTGTGTTGTTTGATGCTAATTACGTTGTGTATGTTTTAATTAATCTACACGTTTTTTTTTTAAATTAGGGAAAGCCAGTAACTACCTCACACTCTCCAGCTTTTCATTCTTTTACTTTGGAGGCAATTCATGTTCCTGCTAGCACTCACTGCCCGTATAGCTGTGGCCCTTTCGTTGCTGAAACACTGGAGAACCTATGATTGGTGGCCTTGGCTCAGCTTAAGGGGGCCGGGGGGTGTTTTCCATGTGCTGAGGCTCCTTCACCCTTTCCCCAGCAGTCCCTGGACTAGCCCTGGAGCTGGCCTGGCTAGCACCCTGTCCTCCTGGAAGTTAAGAAAAAAGAAAGAAAAGATTGGCATTTATTGAGTGCGAAATCTGTGTCAGGCAGCTGCTAAGGCCTTCACTGGGATCATCTCATTTTATCTTTACAAAAACTCCATGAGGAAGGTTCTTTTGTAGAGGGTCATAATCATAAGTATACTACGTTGCAGTGGTTACACAGCTCATGAAACAACAATTTAATTTTTTTAAAAAGAAATCAAAGTTGTACATGCACCCGATTTAAAAAAACAAAATAGTTTTACAAGGTTTGTTGAAAAGCACACATCCCCAGCTCAGAGCTCCCCTGTCTATGTCACCTCCCTCCCGTGATACCTCCCCCCGAGGTCATCCCTCCCATGATACCTCCCCCCGAGGTCATCCCTTTTGCATTGTACCGATGTAGTCTGTGCTGGCACGACTCCTCCCGGGCGTCTCAGTTTTAAGCATGGTCTTTTCTCTGTGAAGATGAGAATGCACCGCTGTCCGTACCTCTACGCCTACCCTACACACTCATACCCTTATGTCCACCCGTCCACTTCCTATACTTACCCTGCAATCCTGATTAGAGCCGTGTCCACCGTCACAACTACATAAATGCTGTTCGAAGCTCAGCCACTTAGTAAATTACGGTCACTGTTTGTTGCACATTTTTTTGTGTTGTTTTTCCAGGAGTCAGTTTTCTTTAATTTTCTCTCCCAATCGTTCAGTGTGGTGCATTCATCACGAGGTCATTTGTGTTAACCCTCAAGACCTCTGGGTGCCTTCCCTACCCTCAGGTTTCCTTCTTGAGGAAAACCTCTCCCAGAGCTCCTGTCCTGGGCCATCCAGTATGCACTGTTTGCTCCTGACACCTGTGTTCCAGAAACGCTTTTTTTCTCTTTCTAACTCTCAAGCACACCTGCTGGTCATCTCCTAAGAAAGGCTCATGGGAAGCCTGGGTCTGAAAAATATGGAAATAATTTCCCTTGAGAACTTTGGTGGCTTCTGTCCACCGTCTTTGGCTCCTGGTTTGTTGCCTGGTTTGTTGCTAAGGTTCTGGATCCTTAGACGGGCCTCTTTTTCCTTTTGCCTCTTCCTCTCTGGAAGTTCGAAGGATCCTTTGTTTGTCCTCAGAGCTCTGAATTTTCACCATAGTGTATGTTCCTGTGGGTCCAGCTTCATCAGTTGTATTGGGCTTCTCGTAAGCCCCTTTCATCCAGAATTTTGTGATCTGGGACATTTTCTAGAATGATTTGTTAGCTAATTTCTTCCCCTTAGCCTTCACAGTTCTTTCTGTCTGGAAACTCCCATTATTTGGATATTTGACCTCCTGGGATGATTCTTTAATTTTCTTTTTCTGTCTCTCCTGTTAACCAATTTTTTTTTGCTCTGTGAGATTTCTTTGATTTTGCGCCCCAATCTTTTCGTTGACTTTTTTCCAGCTATCTTATATTACTCTGAGTTGCCAATAACTCTCTTCTGTTCTCCAAACATTCCTTTTCATGATCTCTGTCTACGTTATACGGTTGTGAGCTCTGGTCTCCTCTCTCTGGGCATATTAAGGAAAGCTTTTCCCTTCTTCACACACAGTCTCATTCTCCCTCAACAGGCTTCTTTCCGTGCATTTGTTTTGGTCACTCTTTACTGGGTGGTCTGCTTTCCTCTACTGGTTCCTGTCTGCTCACCTTTATACACACATGACATAATGCCCATGGCATCTCTGAGTTCCTGGGGCTGTGGGCTGGGAGCTGGGCAGTGGGTTGTAGCTCCCACCCCATGTCAAGGTCTGTAGGTCTTTCCTCACGGGTGGTCGTGAAACAGAGCAGGACCCTGTGGTCCTTGCCCCCCATGTCCTCCGCCTGCCTTTTGTCTGTGGAAAAACTTTAGCCGAAGAAGAAGTTTAATCAGAGAAGTGAGGAAATGCAGAAGCAAGGAAAATCAGTCAGACAGGACAGAACAATAATAGTTTAGTCATTAAGCAAAGTCCAGGACCTTTACTTCCTCCTCAAGGGCTGTAGATCATATTCTGAGCCACATCCTGGGAGCTGTCTTATAGATACTGAAGCCTCCACCAGGTGGAGAAGTGAACTACATGATGACCAGGCTGTAGCCACGACATGAGCTGCCACAGTTCCGAGAACTGGCCTCAAGGAAATGGGAACAAACTGACCCTGGAACTGAAGATTAATTATATTGATACTTAAAACAATCAAGATGATGCTGACCAGGATGAAACTGATGACCAATTTCAACATGACTGTCTGGGCTGCCTGTGCTGTTTCTGCATGGAGCCCCCTTCCTCAGGCTATAAAAGCTCTTGCCCGGATTGTCAGTGGGGTCGACTCAGCCCTCCCCCATGGTTGCTGGCCTCCAAAATAAAGCAAACTTTCCTTTCCACCAACCTGGCCTCTTTATAGTTTTTTTTTTTTTTTTTTTTTGCGGTACACGGGCCTCTCCCGTTGCGGACACGCAGGCTCAGCAGCCATGGCTCACAGACCCAGCCGCTCCGCAGCATGTGGGATCTTCCCGGACCGGGGCACAAACCCGTGTCCCCTGCATCGGCAGGCGGACTCTCAACCACTGCGCCACCAAGGAAGCCCATCTTTATTGGTTTTTGAGCGGCGAGCAGCTGGACGCCACTTTCGGTTACATTCGGATCCCCCAGAGGATATTCCCTGTGTCCCCCGCCTGGAGGGGACAAGCCTTGCTGCCCAGTGGGAGAAAGGCTGGCATCTCAGCATCCGTGGGCTGTGTGCACTTAATCCCTCTGTTCCTACAGGAAC